AGTTTATTTCTAAACTGTATTTACGAGAGTTGCCATGTGTTTAAAAAAAACTAAATTCAACTTAATTCATCAGTAAATTTAAATATGTAAACAATGGCAGGCGAAAGATTTTAGTTTAAAAATACCTTTAAAGAGGTTGCCACCTGTTTGAAAATTCACATTTGTTTTAATTTATGAATTATCGAAATATTAATGTCAAACGAAAGAGTTTTAAGGAAACTATAGGCTGATAATATTTTTAATTAGAATTGCCATCTATTATTATTTTTTTTTGAAGGTCATCACATCTGCAACGATATTTCGAATTTCCAAAATTAGAAGTCAAATTGAAGAACTAGGATTCTACATAGATGTGCACAGGTTTTATTTTTTGAAGTTACATGAAAACCAACACCATGCGAGACCTCTCATCACTCAGAAATGATTAGATTAATCATTAGGAATATTTTTCGAGGTTTTTAAATAGGTTTCACCTGTTTAAAAAATTTATTTAAATGTTGGCGCTTTGACGCCATGTGGATTCACTAGTTTCTTCTTGTTGTTGTTGTAGCAGCATACAAATTCCCCAAAGACTTTTTGGGGAGTGTTGCTGGAGTGACAGTCCTTGACCAGATATAAATCTGGGTCGTTCCGGTTACGTAGACCCGACTGTCGTGGGAACGACTAGTTTCGTCTATTACAGTATTGTGTCGAGCATGACACCCGAATATTTCACTTCCGGAACCGCACTGAGATCTGTTTCAACGAGAGTTACCTATAGTTCTCATTCTAGGTAGGGTTCCTCTTCTTAATTATAATATTTTTTTTATTTGTATTCAAATAAAAGTTAAAAAAATAACAGTTTTTTTGCTCTTGATGCTTTTTGATAATTTTTGTGCCTGGCAACTGATACTTTTTTTCAAGCTCGCGGCAATAAATATACCTTCTCATTTGCTACCAAAAAGAACGTAAGGATCTGCGTTCTTTGCTATATCGTAAATGAGCTTGCCTAAAAGTGGAATGGCAACTCTGCGTACTAAATTCACCATAATAATAACTTGGCTGCACTAAAAGTGGTAAAATTTCTAGAGGGAAAGCAAATGAAAACAACTTTTGCAACCGGCCTGTGAAAAACTCGAGAAAACTTCGATTTTATTTAAATTCAATAAAAAATGTCACGTAAGGAGGCACTTTCGCAGTTCATAAATCAAATTCATGGACGCCCCGTGGTGGTTAAACTAAATAGCGGCGTGGACTATCGTGGTAAATAGGAGTTATAATTTTCCTGTAATCCTGTCGATAGTTTCCACAATAAATAGGTACATAGATGCATACTAATTTCCTGCAAATTCGCAGGTGTCCTTGCATGTCTGGATGGTTACATGAACATCGCACTGGATCAAACAGAGGAGTACGTAAATGGTCAGCTAAAAAACAAATATGGCGATGCCTTCATACGTGGTAACAACGTGCTATATATTTCCACGCAGAAACGGCGGGTATGAAACTTCAAAATGAAACTGGACAATTTCTCCAAACGGTCACATAATTGCGGTTTTTACTTTCATAATGCTTAGTATAATTAAAGTAATAATAAATAACAAAAAATACTTCTAGTCTTTATTCTACAATAATTTCCAGTTACCGCGTTGGATAGTATGGTGTGCCGAAGTCCTTTGGAATAGCACCTTGTTGCCTCAGCTGCTGCAATGAATAACCTCTGCCCAACATATCTACTAAGTTCGCGCCATGCTTTCCATACTTCCGTTCGAAATATGGACGCCATGCGCGCCCCAAATGTGGATTAAAAGGTATTTCGCTTTCTTGTGTAAAAGGCGAAGTGCCTAGAAATAGGTGCTCTATATAGTCCAACACAGCCTTCTTCTTTTGAAAGTGTTCACGGAAAAGATTTGCTTTGACGGCAGTTTTAGGATTCTGCGATGGCAAATTGCGGAAATATTCATAATTCGCTAAATTCAAGCTTGGCAGATCAATTATGTCGATGATGTCGTGAATCAAAGCTTGCGTGCCTTGTTCCTGCACTATCCAACACTAAATTAAAAGACAAGGTAAATAATCACATATTCATAACTGAATAGTAACTTGTTTATACCACGGCTAGTATGAAAACGCTAACCCGTATTACACTTTGCATCTTCCTACTGTTCCTGCTGAGTTTCGAATTAAACTAATTTTTGAACAAACTAATCAATTGCTCCTAACCTTTACATTTAGGACTGCACATTTATCTGTTTACAAAATATTTGTTGCAAAATTCATTACGCAGCTGCTGAGCTGTGCGTGCCACCACACTTGTCCACATTTGCGACACATCCAAATCCATCTATATATATATATGTATGTATTCATACGTATGTATTCATGTGGGCCGGTTTCGTTGGGTGATGACAATTGATATTTATTAATTAGTATTCTATGCGCGCACTTCATCGCGGTAAACAATGGCATAAGTGTTGCTATTTGTATTTACGAATTCGACTTTTTGCTTGATTATTACACATGAATTTCCCATAAAAAAAAATTTGGGAAATGCAACTGAGGTTACAGGCCTTGGCCGGCTTTAAATTCGGTGCGTTCAAATTATAAGTGTTGCAAATGTTGGTAAGCATTGATGGTATTTGATAATTTTAGGCAGAATCAAGTCAATGTACATCATCCACATGACATTTTAAACTTCTTCTTTTATGGTGTAACTGTTTTGTTTATTTACC